TGGCACTCCAGCCTTGGGAATGGTGTTGCCCACATTCAGGGTGGGTCTTCCATCTCAGATAAACCTCTAGAAATGTCCTCACAGTTTGTCTCATAGGTGATTGTGAACCCCACCAATGTGGCAATCAAGAGTAACCATCCCATGCTCACACAGTAGTGACAAAGATGGACTGTTCACTACTCTTTATAAAGAGGCAGGACCTGCAGGTGTGGATGCCATGGCGGGATTTAACCCTTGTTCCAGGATAGGCCACTGACATGAGTCCTGTGTCTTCTGCATTGGAAGGCACACTGGGAGGTGGTCCCACTCCCACTCTCCTGAGCTGAACCAGGCTTGTTTCTTTATTTCTACACAAAGCCAGTCATATTTGGCATATACTTACATGGCTGCATTTATGTCTGTGCATGTCCTTCCTTCCTGGTGCTGCAAAGGTCAGAAGAAGTCTTTAGATTGTCTGAGACAGTAGTTAGGAACAGTTGTGAGCTGGACATCAAACCAATGTCCTCTGCAAGAGCAGTGAGTGCTCTTACCTGCTGAGTCATCTTCACAGCCCTGACAACTGCTATCTTACTCTGTTAGTTTTCAGCAAAGCCTTCTATTGTCTGGTTTTGAAGTTGCCCAATTACAGGACTGCACTGCACATTTATTTTGAATAAACCCGGTGCCAAGGTTGGAGATTTAGACACAGTAGCTTCCCACTAGTTCATTGATGTTGAAGGGGACTGCACAGTTTGTCATAGAGTCGGCCACTTGATTGACTTTAGCACCTTCCTTTATAGCCCTTCGTTATACATGACATGGAGACCTTGTGTATGGCTGAGAAGACGCTTGTGGCCAAGATGGTGGCCAATGGCATCCAAAATAAGGAGGCAGAAGTCCGGATCTTCCACTGCTGCCAGTGCATGTCTGTGGAGACTGTCACCGAGCTCACAGAATTCGCCAAGGCCATCCCAGGCTTCGCAAACTTGGACTTAAATGACCAAGTTACCTTGCTAAAGTACGGTGTGTATGAAGCCATATTCACAATGCTGTCCTCCTTGATGAACAAAGACGGAATGCTGATCGCGTATGGCAATGGCTTCATCACAAGGGAGTTCCTAAAGAACCTGAGGAAGCCATTCTGTGACATCCTGGAACCGAAGTTTGATTTTGCTATGAAGTTCAATGCCCTAGAACTGGATGACAGTGACATTTCCCTTTTTGTGGCTGCTATAATTTGCTGTGGAGGTAAGTTGATATGCCACTGTTGAGTGCTTACAGGCTTCCCCTCTGGAGGAACTCAGCAGTTGTCAATACAGTGCCAGCATGAGCTCTGATACAGTGAAGTGGGCACTGGGAGGGTGGGATGGTGTCTGAGCCCAGGTTACTGCCGAGTAGAATTGAGAATATACCTATTATATGTTGTGATTGTGCTCTTATTATAGTGACCACTTCCACATATTGGCATATTAAGTGTCTAAATATATGCTCCACTGATAATACAATTATATCAAATCAAGCATCTTAGGTACACATAATATATAGTGATAATTTGTACCGTTGATATTATAATTATTGTAGTAGGTAATAGTCAGGAAAGTGCCGTGCAGGTGTAGGTACAGTGCTGATGCTGTTAATATTGATGTTGATCCATGCCCAAAACTATCATGCTAACCAGAAGCAGCTGCAGTCTCCTTTGCCAGAAGGAACAACCCAGTGAAGGAAGATCTGGCTGGGCCTCTCTGGGGAAGCTGGCCCTGTGGTCCCTGATATTTGGCTCAGTGTTGCATGTCTTTAAATAGCCTTGTCTCTGGTCTAGGAAGGTCATCCACCTAATGTAAGCCCAGATGACCTTGCTTGGCCTTGGCATAGCCATATGGTTGACAATTCTTCCCAACTGCCAGAAGCCATCCTGCCCTTCGCAGTCACTGTCTGGCTGGTGACTAGTTGGATGGAAGAAAAAGCATAAAAACAGCACAGATCTGTAGAGTTAGTTCTCTGTGTGATTGATTCAGTGTGGCGGGGTGGGTAGGTGGGTAGCAAGTCAGTGCAGAGGGTCATATACACAGCTTTTCATGGCTGCAGCCCTGCACTGACCGATCCTGTGGATGTGAAAACTGCTCCATATAGCAAATAGTACACTTGCCATGGGGAATTATAACTATAAAGAGTGGATCCTTCTACCACTGTAAAACTTAGTCATGGGGTTGGGAAAATGGTTCAGTCAGCAAATTGCTTGTGACACAAGCATGAGGACCTGAGTTTGAACCCAGAACCCATATTTTTAAAAAAAAGCCACTGTGTGTGGGCATGCTCTTGTAATCCCAGTGCTGTGAAGGCAGAGACACACAGATCCTTGGGGCTGGCTGGACAGCCAGACTAGTGTACTTGGTGAAGAGTTTCAAGCCAGTGAGAGACCCTGTCTCAGAAAACAAGGTGGGTGATACCTGAGGAAGGCTGTCTAAGGTTAATTTCTGTTCTTCACACACATGCCCCCTCAAATACACACACACGTACATACACAAAATCCTTAGTTATTATATTTATTTTACTACTAAAACAATGAAGGTTAAAACCGGCATCAAGGGCTGGAGAGCTGGCTCAATGGTTAAGAGCATTGCTACTCTTGCAGAAAACCTGAGTTCAGGTCCCAGAATCCATGTCAGACAGCTCACAGTTGCCTATAACTGCAGCTCCAGGAGATCTAGTGCCCACTTCTGGCCTTCTGGAGAGCCGTACTCACAGGCATCCCCACCCTCCCAACACACACACACACACACACACACACATAATTAAAATAATAAATAAGTAAAAATAAAACCACTTTAAAAACGAGATAAATTTATTAAAGGATACATTTTAAATTTTAATCAGATTATCAAACAAAAACATCGTCACTGTATATATGCCACAGTTTGGTTACCATGATGTCTGCTTTACTTTTAAATGTTAAGATTAAATTTCTAAACTTTCTGTAAAGGAAAAATGGATACAAATGACATAGTAATTGATAATATGACTTAGAGATGTCACTACACTCTGGAAACAGGAAACAAAAATAGATAAAATAGGCACATATTATGAGTAAGATGTTCCAAACATAAATAAGGGCCAGTGGGGTAAAGCCCTTGAAAGCCTGACTGCTTAAGTTTGATCCCTGGAACCACATAAAGGTAGAAAGAGAAAACCAGCTTCCCAATAGCAAACATGAATTATGAAATAAATAATTCTATATTGTAAATAAAACGTTGTCTTCTGTTCCCATATATGCCCCCCACACACACAAAAACATAAACACTACACCATTAGCCGCTTTTAAAGTCATGGATGGATGAGGCTTAAAAGGCACAGTTGTCTGGTTGGTTAGGACCTGAGACTATACCAGGAAGGCCACCTGGTGTGAGCAGTGGCACTTCCTGCTGTGTCCTCTCCCAATTCCAGAGGCTCCTTGGCATACTGCCAGCCACACTCTTCCACAGCCCTGGTCACTTCCCAGCCCGCTCTCCCCCCAGGCTTCAGCAGAGGTATCAGTGATGTTGCCTTAAGGCGGAGCTTGATCCTGTTGCACTCCTGCTTTTGTCCAGGAAGAAGTACTTCATTTCCCACATTACACAAAGATGTGGCGTGGTTTGCGGCTTGTCAGGCAAATCCCAAAGTAGGGGCTGCACCATAAGGGGGATGGAGGTAGCACTATTGCTGGTCCTGTACATAGCTAGGAGTGTCAGTCGTGTCTGTCCCCATCGGAGCCAGTGACTATGGAAAAGCCCGTCTGACCTCTGGTCAGGCTGCCATGTGACGGTCACTCGGCGCCTTCTCCACAGGGCCACATGAAGCAGCGACACTCGGCTCCTCCACTGACCAGTGACTCTCGGGTGGTCACACTCAGACGTCTCTTTCTTCTTTTGAGCGTAGATCGGCCTGGCCTTCTAAACATAGGATACATTGAGAAGATGCAGGAGGGTATCGTGCACGTGCTCAAACTCCACCTGCAGAGCAACCATCCAGATGATACCTTTCTCTTCCCGAAGCTTCTTCAAAAAATGGTGGACCTTCGGCAGCTGGTCACGGAGCATGCGCAGCTCGTGCAGGTCATCAAGAAGACCGAGTCTGACGCAGCGCTGCACCCGCTTCTGCAGGAGATCTACAGGGACATGTACTGATTTTTCCTGAGATGGTGGCCATTGCCACTGTCCAGGGACCTCTGAGGTCTGCAGCCCCACACAGGAGAGCAGGGATTTGCACAGACGGCCACCCTACCCTTGGAGGTGAAGAGGGCTGAGCCTAGGTAATGCAGGCTCTTCCCACTTCTTTCCTTTCTGGATGGGCACTTCTAAGGATACCTGCTACTTAAATGCTGGTGATTGGAAGCTGATAGGATTCAGACAATCACAGAGAATGGCAACCCCCAGTCTGATCTTAACTGGTCCAATGTTAATCAATGCACATTTCTTTACATCACATTTATAATTCGCCCTTAATTAACGTGTAACCTCAAAGTCTAAGTTTCTCTTCTCTGCTTACTGTCCTTCTGGCTGTGTGCACCCTTGTAAATCCCAAAAACTAATCTGCACTTTTTAACCTTTAAAATCTACAAGTCACCATGTGGCCCAAGGTGAGCCATTTAGACATGGCAAAAATGTTTATTGGGAAGACTTCACTTCTGTTCCCTGGCTCTAAGAGAGCTGGCTTATTAGAACATTCAAGAATGGTTAGAATGCAGCCCCATAATTTTCTTTGTTGATTCACTGCTTTGGAGGGTATAACTAATACGTGGAAAAAAAATTCTGGGTTTGTGTAGAAAATTCCAGAAAGCTACAATCTCAAGAAGCCTCAGGAGGCTTGAGCTAATGTCTGATACACAGACAGTGTGAGCCCTGAGCAGCTGCAATCCTGTTCATGTTAAACCCCCAGTGTGTGGGCATGACGCAATTCCAGAGATGGAGTCACAGAAGACTTGTAAACGCTCCTCCAGGCCCCCTCTGGCAGCTCCTTTAATATGACACTTTGTCTTTTTTAAAAAATGGTGGGGAAATGTTCCCTGGAGTGGAGAAGGCAAACTTTACTACCCAAGCTGGGAGGATCTGGTCACCTTGGAGAGCAAAAGGCAAGGGTGTGATGTCCTTCTTCTATTTGTACCCAGTTGAAGATCTCACAACGCTTGGTTGGTTTTGTTGTTGTTTTTAAATAATTAGATGGTGAAGTTGCTTTTCCTTAGTCCCATTGGGAAAGCAGTGCTGACTGCCTTCAAGAGAAACACTTTGCACAGAGAATTCTCAGACCTCATGGACCTGCCAGCACCTGCCCTCCAAGAGGGTGGCTGCATGTTTCAGATCAGGTTGTATCTTTTATGCCCCTGCCCTATTGTTAGAAAAAATGGCTTTTCTGAAGTCATTTGTTATTAAAGAATGATCAAGATGAATACTGCCAAGGAGTTGAGGATATAGCTCACATTTGGTAGAGGACCGCTTTATGTTCAACATGGTATGTAACTATAACCTCCGCAGATGTTTAAGGTAGCCTTCAGATATGTAACTAAGTCTCATGCCAATCTGTGCTGCAACACAAAAACAAAAAACACTGATGCTGATAAAATGTTCATGATCAGCACTATGAAAATAGTAGAAAGAATAACATGGCCATGGCATTTCAAGTAGGAAAAAATGGACAATTAGGATCAAGACATGCTTTAAGATTTGCACACTTATGGCTGGGTGGTGGTCATGCACACCTTCAATCCCAGCACTCAGGAGGCAGAGGCAGGTGGACCTCTGTGGGTTTAGGTCCAGCCTGGTTTACAGAGTTAGTTCTAGGACAGCCAAGGCTACACAAAGAAACCCTGTCTCAAAAAACAAAAACCACTAAGATTTGTGCACTTACTGACTTCTTCCCTTCCTCCTCCTGTAATGCGTCTTTTTCTGTCCCACTTGCCAGCTCCCAAATAATGACACAGAGACTTCTTATTAATTAAGCTTGTTCCTAACTAGCTCTTATAACTTAAATTAACCCATTCATATTAATCTGTGTCTATCACTTGCATTACCTCTCTTTCATCTTGCACCTCCTGTTTCCTCTCCATGTCTCCTCGCATCTCTCTCCTGCTTGCTTAGATCCCGCCCCCTCTTCCTCTCTCTCCCTGGAATCCCATCTATACCTCTGCCTAGCTATTGGCCATTCAGCTTTTTATTACGCCAATCATAGCAATACATCTGCACAGTGTACAAATATCCCACATCCCCCTCATTTCCCCCCTTCCTGTCTTCTTGCCTCTCTTCCTTCCTCATTCCCACTTTCCCTCTCTTCCTTCCTTCCTTCCTTCCTTCCTTCCTTCCTTCCTTCCTTCCTTGCTGCCAGTCAAAGGCTCTGTAGGACAGCAGTTGTCACAGGCAGTCTGCCCAGGCTTGAAGAACCAGAGGCAGAGCAAATCATTTCCATATATGATCCCTGTGAGGGTTGAGCTCTTTCAGGAAAAGCCAGCCTTTGTGGCACACAGCATATCCAGCCCTTGGTCCTTCTTGCAGGGCTAGGGCTGGTCCTAGGTTTAGAGGGTCAAAGGTTCCAAGTCTCTTTAGTGCACCGGTCCCCTACCAGGGTAGGCTCCTGTTCTGATGGGCCTTAGACAAATGCCACTCAGTGTGGTGACCTTGGAAAGTAAGTTTTGAGTCATGGCTTTTTAGAGTAGTCATGCATTCTATTTGAACTTTCATAAAACTTAAAGTAGCCCCTTGCTGTAGCCTTCAGATGGACCACACAGCTAACTGACAAGTTCTGTGTCGGGTGGCATCTGAGCTGATGCTCAGCAGTGTTCATGAAGGTTTGGTTCTCTTAGAGCATGGTGTGACTTCCTCTATGATCCTGTTGGCAGGCACCAGTCCACTAGCCCCTCCCTGCACACCACCTCTTTCCCATAGTCTTATAGGTTCTTCCCCAGGAGAGATTCCTTAAAGCAGGAAAACATGGTCCTTGGGCTCCTCTACACTCAGCTTGCATCTGATTCCAAAGATATCTCACCTTGAGCCTTTATCCAACACACTACACGGGGCGTGTTGGACACACAGCAGCCTGATGCATGGTGGAAAGGGATTTTTGTCCTGCTTCACTGGCCATGTGTTTTTAAAATATCTTACTGGAGCAACAGCCTGACTCAGAACAGAGATGGCCTCTGTCTTTCTCTAAGAAAACAGCGCACTAGGATCTGCATCAAGACAGGTGTGGGTTTAAATAAGTGGATCATGCTCCTCACTGAGCCTCCTCTGGGGAAAGTGTTGGCGTCTCTGGGTTTTGCCTCAATGGAGTGGGCTTCAGGCTCATCAGGGAAAGATGTGTGGCCCCCTTATCAAGACAGTGTGAGAGGCTGCTGTCACCAAGCCTGGAGCCCTGAGGACATTGTTTTAGCTGTCGAATCCCCTTCTCAGAATCTCAGTCTGAGACATGAGAAATAGAGCCTGTTTGCTCTCCCAAGAGAGTTTTGTCAGGGAGAGCAGTTGCATAGTGAGGTTCACCTTTTGGGGAATCCTGTGCCAGCCAGAACGAACCAACCTGCATCCATGGTCAGTGTCATGTCTTGACCAAGCAGCTAACAGCACCTTAGTGGCAAAAGGAAATGAGAAACATCAAGTTTTATGTCATAGATAGCAACTAGGCTCAGTTTCATTTTTCTTTTTATTTAAAAGTTTGCCAGTTGGGGTCAAATATGAGAACCCTGGAGTTGTCTGTAGAGGGGGGAAATAACGGTCTCCTCTTGCCCAGTTTCAAATTCATTTATTCGGTGAAACATGCCTCATCCCTGGGGCACAGGTCACCCTGACAGGGGTGAGGCCAGAGCAGAGGCAGGTAGATCTCTGGGCTCCCTGGCCTTCAGGGGACACTTGGACATCTTTCCCAAGCCCCCGGGGCTCAGTATCTGTCAAGTCACATAGAGCCTGGATTCAGGACCTGAAGACCAGCAATGGCTGACTTTTTCCTGGTGAAGTTGTAACTGTCGGAAAATTCACTTAGAAAAAAAGGGCACAGCCAAATCTTTTGTCAGGCCTGAAACTAAGTGTACCTCACAACAAATGAATGCCACTTGGCACCTTTCTAGGAAGATGTCAGTATTATCCATGTTAAGTGTCACTGTGTTTTCTGCACTGAATGAAAAAGAATTATCTTTATAGCTATATCTTAAATACTGTGATTTCTATTTTTGTTTTTTAAACACTCTGATACAAGTAGTTGACTAGCTTGTGACGTGTGTCTAATCGCCAACACCTGGAATCTTCTAAGTCAAGTTTCAGTGCGGTTTATGTTTAAAGCCTGGCTCTTGAGCCTGCTGGACACAGGAAGCCAAGGAAAAACAACAGCACTGCTGCCCATGAGTGCACACCCCACACCTGAGCTGTGCTCCATCCGCTGTAGTCGTTCTTTCTGTCTCCCTCGAAACAGGTGCAAGCCAATCTGTTTGTATCCATTTCTGCCAGCCAGGCCTTCCTGAGCCTTGGCTGGAAGTCACCAGCCTTACACCAGTGTCTCTACCAAGCCCAGTGAGTAGGCTTGTCGGGTTAACAGCTGTCCGCTATTCAGGGAATTGTTACCTATAAGTTACCAAAGAACTGTGGCAATCTGAGCTGTTCCACTGCATCTCCACGTCATTCCCAGTGTCCTGGCCACATTTCTTTTTGGAGTGACTCTGTAACACCCTCTAAGATCCACTAGAACACTAGAGCCCACAGGGAGGAGTCGGACAGACACACGAGGACATGCTCATTTCCAAAGCAAGGTCTGAGCCCGGCTTTCTGCTACCTGCTCACTGCTGTCCTTGGTGCCATTCTCTTAGAGCTGGGGGTTTGCCGCCCTCCACCTCTGTGATAAGGACAGTCCTGAGTAGGGATTGTTGAGCCGGTGCCAGCATCCTCTCCCACCTCCAAGCTCTTTGTGATACAGGGCTACCCAGGACATCAGGAATCCAGGTGAACACAGAAGGGCAATTAGAATTTTATAGTCACACGAACTGATTGGTTCCAGGCAATTAGAAAATGGTTATAAGTTAACTTTAATTAAAAAAAATATTGAGTCTTCTTCGTTTTCTCCATAGGAGATTGAACTGACTGTATGTATTGATTTATATCCTGAATTTATGGGAACCTGTATGTTTGGAATGTCCTACTGTAAGACTGATGAATGTAACGAGTTAATTTCAGGGTACAGTTTTGCCTTAATGGTTTAAAAGAATAAACTATTTTTAAAAATGAGTTGGTTCATTTTGAATGATGCTGGAACATGGCTCCGACAGGATGCACTGAGTGTCCAAGTAGGTCAGTAAAGGGTTACTTAAACCATTAGCTTATTTTTCAGGGTTTAATTGTAAACATGATACAAAGTCAAGGTTTAAATCGCTTCCCAGGCATTGCACAGGATGTGACATAACCCTTGCATGCCCTCTGGCCTTACCACCGGCCCTCGGAGGCTGATTTCCTTAAAGCAGATGACATCATGTTACTTGGAAGTCCTAGAGAGAAGCCAGGTGTCTCCCATAGGTGCATGTACAGGAAGTTCTACCAACTGTCCACGGATGGAGGCCCGGTCCCTCACTCACGGCCTCCACTAGAGGCCAGTCCTGGAGCTGCAGCTGGTCCACTCCTGCTGTCTGTCCTCAGGCTTGGCCAGCTCCTTGGTTCCCAGGGCTGCAGGTACTCCACAGTTCAGAGAAGGCCAGATACACATCTCCCAGCCAGAACCCTGGCCGAATCAGCCCAACGCTGCACAGGAGGCTGTGTGCCTGCCAGTCAGGGATGGCTGGAGGGCCTCTTGGAGGCACCTTTTCTCTTCTCCACATCCTGCTGTATTTCCTGAGGGAAAGCACTGATATTCTCCTGAACACAGGGGAGGCAGACCCTCTTGGAGTAGAACAGACTGCAGTCCTGTGAGAGGGAACAGGGCTAGAACATTGGGGACTCAGTGCCGCCTCTCCCAGGCAAACCCCCGCCCATTAGGCACAGGGAGGGGCAGCAATCTGAGCAACAGAAAGAAGCACCAAGGGCTGGCCTGGCGGGGTGGCCATCCTGCCTGAAGTCCTGAGGAACAAACCCTTGCGATGGCAATCGCCTTACTAACAATGTACTGCTTAATCCAAGAGAGGGGAAATTGCCTGGCATCCTTGGGGCAGCCCCGATCCCCCTTTCTGCTTGCCAAGTACAGCCCGAATCCACGGAGGGACACTTGAGGCTACTCTGACCTCAAACACTCCCTCCACAGTCTTCCCTCCAAGTGGTGGGACCTGAGGCTCCTACCACAATCCCGTACACCAACCAGACAGCAAAGAGAGGAGACAGTTGTTGGCCATGACCTGTGGCAAGACCCCTGTGTGCACTGAACCTGTAGCAGGTGCCCAGGGATTCTCAGACCCAGGACGACTGCAAGCCCCAACCCCAGGCTGAGACATTCTATTTGCCCACACTGGCCCCTTCCCTTTGCCCTTGTGTCCCAAAGGATGGGGCTATCTGTTATCTAAGAACCCCCACCCTCTTTCCACCTGGTGATCAGGAGGTCCCCAGACCTATGGAGCAAAAATGGAAGTTCCAGGTGTACCTACTGGGCCCACACACACCAGCTTGCCACACACACTGCACCGCGCGCCAAGGACCAGAAACCTGGCCTTGTCTGAGGAGAAGGGATCCTTCATGATGTAGCTCTCCTCCAGGAGACTGCAGGGAGAAGAGAAGAAGGTGTGAGAAGGGACTCATGGCTGTGAGCCCTGGCAGACGAGCCTCAGCAGGCAGGAACTTGTCAACCTGGGCAGCAGGGTGGTGACAGAAAGGCTGGCAGCTGAAGGACAGGTGGGAACTGAAATGTGACCTGGCCCCAGCTCTGCAAGGTCCAGTGGGAACCCTCTCAATGCACCCCAGGGCAGGTATAAGTCATTGGGTGGGCTGGTGAGGTCAGCATGGGGCATGGCGTGCTCTTCTCTGTCCCGCACGGCATCAGGATGAGAGCAACTTAGTGGCGTGGTAATCCAGGGAAGCAAATGAACTGAGCCTGGTCCCCGCCTCTTTGTCACATGAGTCTAGCACTAGCCAGCTTTCTCACATGATATTTGATGAAGGATGAGCCACACAACCCAACGGGCAAGCTTGGAACCATCTCTGCCCCCCATCCAACATGAAGCAGACCTTCAGAAAGCTGGTCTTTAGTAACCACTAGGTACCCAACCAGCACAGAGTACCATGAATGGCATAGGACACAGCACCACATGAAAAAGCCACCATGCTCCTCCACTGCTGTTTGCCCTGGGCCACAAGGCTTCCAGCTTATAGACAGAGCAACTTCCTAGCTGCCAGCTGCACCTACAGGAAGGATAGGGAGACCTGGAAGAGTTTTTTTAAAAAAGCTTCCCAGCCTTGCCTGGGGTTTCCTTAGGCTATGCCTGGAACATCCAGAGCAAGTCCAAGGACTGACCTTGAGTAAAGGCCCAAGCCAGGAATCACACTCCACACAGCACCTGTCAAGCAATACTGGACAGACAGAGCCTCTTGAGCATTGCCCCAGAGTGCATACTCACACAACAGCATGGGTGTCTGGGGGCTTCTGTCCCACGTAGCTGTAAGGAGCTGTCAAGGCACAGAGCTGGCACTCAAACATGCCCAGGGGGTGGGGCTCTGCCTCAGATGCCATCTGTAAGACCAAGAGATAGAATCACCATCGGAACCTAGAACCACCACACTTCAAATCCACTCTGACCACTGTCCATATCGCATCCCCAAAATGCAAGTCTCCTTGACAAGTAAGCTCAAACTCAGAGCAAGTAACACCTACTCAGTGTCACCCAGGATTATCAAATGTACAATACTGACTGTGCCTAGCCTGGGCTACAAAACAAAGTGAAATCAGAGAGTATCCGTTTCCATCCCCACTTCCTTAAACTGGATAATTTACCTTTTATTTACATTTGTTTATTTGGGGAGGATGTTGTGCATCCATGGAATTCATAAAGAGGTCAGAGGACAACTTGCAGAAATTCCTTCTACAGTATAGGTCCTGGGGATTGATCTCAGGTCATCAGCCTTGGCAGCAAATGTTACAGACATTTGTGTTATAGACAAACAAGTTACAGACAGGTGTGAGCTGCCATGTGGGTGCTGGGAATTGAACCCAGGTCCTCTGGAAAAGCAGACAGAGCTCTTAACTGCTACATCATCTCTCCAGCCCTGGCAGCAAATGTCTTTAACTTTAGCTGTCTCACCAGCCATAGTTTTTAGTTATATTTTTATTGACTGATTTTGTATAGGCATGCATGTGTGTTATTAGTCAGGGTTCTCTAGAGTCACAAAATTTATGTAGGGAATGGATTTCTCTCTCTCACTAAGTGTGTGCATGTGTATTACTGGAATGACTTACAGGCTGTAGTCCAACAATGGCTAGCTGTGAAAGGAAAGTTCAAGAATCTAGTTGCTCAGTCTCACAAGGCTGGGTGTCTCAGCTGGTCTTCTATATATTCTAGAATCATAAAGTAGGTTCCAACGCCAGTGAAGGAACGGATGTGCTGGCAAGGCAAGCAGGTGAATGACTGAACACTTCCTTCTTCCACTGTCCTTAAACAGGCTTCCAGCAGAAGGTGTGGCCCAGATTAAAGGTGTGCCTTCCTGCCTCAAAATCTGAATTAAAGGCCTGTGCCTTCTTGCCTCAAGATCCAGATCACAAGTGTGCCCTCCGTGTCTGGGCTGCAGTTCATTCCATAGTCAAGTTGACAACCAAGAACAGCCATCACAACGTGCCACAGAACAATGTGGGGTCAGTTCTCACCTTTCACCATGTGCGATCTGGAGATCAATTTCAGGTCAGGCCTGGCAGCAAGGCACCTTAATCTGCTGAGCCACCTCACCAGCCCCACTTTGGGTAATTTCTATAGACTTCCTTCAAGGTCTCCGGCTTTATTCACATCAACTGGTAGGCCCCTTGAAGGCATTCTTCCTCTCTATGGCTTTTTTCACTACCAACCCCTCCTCTGCTGAAATCCCCATCTGTGTGTGTGTGTGTGCTATGTATCTTCTCCACTGGCACGTTTAACACGTTGACCATGCTTGTTTTAAACGTTCATCTGATAGTTCACCGCAACATCTGAGCCACATCTGGTTCTGCACCTCTTATTTTGCTCCTTGGCAGAAAGGCTGTTTTGTTTCCTTGCTCCTTTTTTTCTTTTTAATCTCAATCTGGGCTATAAGCCAGATGTGTCTGTAGGGTGGCAGAGGTAAAACGGTATTTAGGACCCAGAGTGGGCATGTGTGCCAAGCCTGTGCTGTTTGATGCTGAGTCAATCCAGAGGGTAACTGAGGTGGCTTTGGCTTTTGTGGTTGGCCTTCTGTACTGGCTTCAAATTTCTCTAGCATTGCTTGTGCTTAGGTGTGAGATTTATTGGCCTCTCGGCTACTATTTATGGGCAGATTCCAGTGCCTCCTGCACCTTCCCTTCACTGGATGCAAGAATCTTCCCTTGCCCTAGAGCATACTTTCCTGCCTTACCCAAGTAGCCCTAAACTTTTGTTCCCTTGGAAGATCCAGGCAGATAATTTGCCTTCCCCAGGTCGGCTTACAGGAAAGCTCTTAATTTTCTGCTCTGCCTTCAGTATTTCCCACCAGCACCCAGTGTATGCTGGTGAAAAGCCCACGGTGTCTCCGTGGTTCCCCGGGGTCGAATCCTGGTCTACGTGGTATGGCTGCATTCTTATCTGTTTGGATGGCACTCCTATACTCATGTGTATCTAAGATCTCGGAGGCCCTGGCAACCGCAGAGATTTTTACAGCGCGGTAAGGGAATTCCTGTCTTGACACACAACCCCGGCCCCAGTTGTGCACTCCTCTAACCCTTCGTGTCCTGCAGAACAAGATTTGGAGCCAGAAGGAACAAGCCTTGGAAACTGGCAGGGGTTCCGAATGATGTCTATAAATGAAAATCCTATTTTGGGTGTGCACGAACCTAGCTAGTTCTGCATGGTATCTTAACTCGCACGTCGCAGGCCCTCGCTGAGGCTGCTGGGCATGCTGCCCTTGTAGCAGGTGACAGTCAGGAGACAGTCCCAGGATAGCGCGACTCCGCCAGAGCCGCCGCCTCCCGCTCACTCTCCCCGGGTTAGCAGAGCTCCGCCTGGCGACCAAAGTGCGGCACGTACGACTCGGATCTCCCAACTAGCCACCCACGCGCAGGTCTCCCCGTGCCCCGGGTGTTAAGTCTAACGCCTCCCTCTCAGCTTCCAGAAGCGCCGAGGCTAGACCCATCGAGCCGGGCCGTGAAGAAAGAACCGTCCAAATCAACACGCGCGTCCCCGCAACAAACTACCGCGCGCACTCACCACCTCCGCGCAGAAAGTCCCACGGCGCTTGCGTGGCCCGCCCACAACACCAGCTCCGCCCCACCGCGTCTGCGCGGCTCCGCCATAAATCCGCCTAGGCCCCGCCTTCGGTCCATAGCGTCGGCGCAGTCCCGCCCCATAGAGCGGGTGTGAGCCTGCTGAGACCCCACCAGACTACCCTAGGCCAGGGGTTAGCTTCACGGTGTCTACCTGACCTCACCCGGTCCCCGCCTCCGAATGCCAAGATTAATCTAAGGAGTGTCCTTGTCAGGGTACAGCTTCACCAGCCGCTTCCGTTTCCGCTGCTGATGTCTAGAGGTTGTGGACCTCTGCTTGAAGGCTTTTTGGGCTTCTTCAGGACGAAGCGTACTGATTAATAACAAAAACAAAAGCCAGTTTTTCCTAAGTTTTGCTTGGAGAACCAGTAAATTTATTGGGATTATTTACAGGGCTAAGGATGAGAATGGAAACATTGACAAGCCTACCCAATGCGGGTGATGACTTACCTGCAAGACTTGGAGGTCGTTCCACCTGTCTCCGGCAACAATTGCTGAGTGTTTCTGTAACTTTGGGAAGGGGCTTTGTTGTGGATATTCTTTTCTTGCTGTCTTTCTTTGAATTTTTTTGAGAGAGGGTTCTCTGTGTAACCGCCCTGGCTGTCTTGGAACTCTCTTTTGTAGACCAGCCTGGTCTTGAACTCACAGAGATCCGCCTGTCTCTGCTTTTCGAGTGCTGGGATTAAAGGTTTGTGCCACTACTATTGGCATGGATATTCTTAAAGTAAAAGTTTGGTGAGCTTTCTGATTTATGTGCATCCTCCTCTGCCTCCAGGAGAGGGCTATATAACACTTCACTTCTTTCTGTGGCTCTTATTTCTGCACTTCTTGGGGTAGTGTTCCCTCAACCTTGGGAGGGTTACATAGAAGTCTGATGACTTTATTGCATTTATGGTTGGGAATTGAACTGCTATGCCATAGAAATAGGTATTTATTTGCAGTTTGACTGGTTTTGAGTCTCCTTGACAACTACCACTGACTGCAAAAAGAACAGCTGCAGTAATCTGTGGGTAAGAAATACAGGTGTTCAGAAGACCCGTCTGTTCATTTAACAACGGTAGTAGTCTCCCCACCAGAGCCTATGGCCACCAGCCACAAGTCTTTGCCCAGGTTTATAGTGCTAAACATGGGTTCCCTCCTGGCCTGGTTGGTAATGGAATCCATAACCAAATGGGACTATTGGCAATAATTCTCCCTCAGTAATATAGGCTTCCCGCTAAGTTTTAGCCTGATTTCTCCATGCCCTGCAGTATATGAGTGTTTTCATCTAATTTTGACATGTAACCAACATTAGTGGAAGTTGCCTTTCTGGTTTCTGGGACTTAAAGGGTTTCCTTGGCTAGCAACTTGTAGGGATATAACCTGCCCTTGGATGTGTGGGATTTTCTTTTAGTAACCTTACAGCTTCTGGGAATGTTTTTCTACCCATGCAAGGTGCTTTCTTTACTGTTGTTTTATTGTTCTTCCAGATGCATGTCCAACTGGATGGCTAACGCTACATCATATGTGTCATACAACTGTCTTACAGAAAATGGGCAGATGTTAAGAGAAGCTTTTTCCTTTGCTAGCCGCTTTGGTTTATCCCCCGCCAGTCACCTGGGCTCTGCCGCGCCAGCCTGGTTCTAGATCCGCATGAGTCCCAAATAAACACACAAGAGGCTATATTCATTATGAAGCTGTTGGCCTTGCTTTTCCCTTACTGGCTAGCTCTGCCTTAAGTAATTACCCCATAATTGTTAATCTAAGTATGTTTCTTACCGGAGGATAGTTCCCAGCTTCTTACCCCTATGGCGTCACATGTCGACTCTCTTGTGTTTCTCCTACCCAGAATCCTCCTGGATTCCTAGCCCCACCTATCTAGATTCCTATTGGCCAGACAGTGCTTTATTAGCATAAGACTTCCCCAACAGGCAGAATCCCTGAGTACCTGCCATGCCAAGCAAATGCCAGTTGAGCTTGAGGTTAAGCAGCAGAAAGTATTCTGTAACAAAGCCAATGTACAGTAACGACCAAAACAACTGAACTATTGAGTGCTCAGCCCCAAATGGGACATCTATATCACTCCCAACCCCAACAAGGCTCTGGGAACATCTCAGAAGAGGGACCAGGAAGAGCATAAGAGCAGAGGGAGGATGGGGAAGACCATTGTGAAATGCTATCTTTTGGGCATACCATGGACGTCGGCCTCATCAGTTCACAGCAGCTGTGGTTACCTATACAAACCTACATAATAAGACCCAGCCAGTTAACATCCCAGTGTGGATGGGGAGGGACTCATGTGGCTACAGTGTGTCTGGGGAGTTATTGGCTACTGATGGCTATTGGGGAAAGAGGTGTCAAGTTCCTTGGGGGCAGGGTGTGACCACTGATAGTAGGCAGGACTCTGGATGATGATGATGGTGATGGCTGTGGCATGAAGGTGGGGAAGAGGACATGTTGGGTGAGTACAAAAAGGGTGGTAAGAGTGGATAGATTCAAGGTATCACCTTGTCCAAGAATGAATTTTAAAATCAAGGTGAAACCCAGGCAGTGGTGGTACATGCCTTTAATCCCAGCACTTGGGAGGCAGAGGCAGGCGGATCTCTGTGAATTCAAGGCCAGCCTGGTCTACAAAGCTAATTCCAGGACAGCCAAGTTTACACAAAGAAACTTTGTCTTGAAAACCAAACCATAAAATAAATAAAATAAAAATACAGCTAAATATGGTAGTACATGCCTTTAATCCCAACACGGGGGGGGAGCAGAGGCAGGCAGATCTCTGTGAGTTCACTATTTAGTGAGTTCCAGGACAACCAGAGAACCAGAGTTGTGTAGTGAGGTCCTGTCTCCAAAGGAGGTACAGCGTCATACAGGAAAATCTCTAGAGTCACAGGATGCTGATGAGTGTAGCATGGCCATAGCCTCATTTGTGTGTTTACCTTTTCTGGCCCTCACCTTTGAAGACAGCCAAGATAAGTGTTGATCCCTTACACAGAAATCACTGCACAGGTAATGGAAGAAATCTCGTTTAATTCATGTAAAACTTAAAGCGGTGTCAACATAAAGGCATATGCTTCTGAGTAACAATGTAACAGCTGTTAGCCCTTGTTCTTCTTGAACAGTAAGCCTCATTTCCTTACTCCTAAATCATCTGCCAAGTCAGAAATATAACCAGATGCCCAAGTCATCAGACACGCATTGCTATGTTCAGTACATAGAACATGTACTATATTTCCACATGAACCTTTGTTCACCTTTCTTGGCAACACTCATGTCTCTTGGTCAGATAATGTTACCAGGTGCACTTGAAATGCTTAGCCTGAGGGAATTAAGTGGGAAACTTCAGATCCCTGTCCCCTACTCTCATCTCTGCATTCTCAAACTCCAGGCCAGTCCTGGAACTCCCCCACAGGACCCATCTAGCCCTGGCCTACAGGAAGGCTAGAGGAGAGAGGCTTCCCAGGCATGGTCTGCAAAGGATACTCCCAGGAAGACTGGCCAGTTTGCTTCTGCTTAGAGGCTGCTGGCCTGAAACTAAATCCACAGTGGGACCTGGCCAGCTCTTTCCCTTGAAGCTGGGTCTCAAAATCCATGGATGTCACTCTTCCACACTGCTGCAGGCTCCCACAAAAGGAGTCAATGAATCCCATCCAGAGGGAATCCCACCTTGCCATCCTCTTTTCCCCTCTGTTCATATGTTCTTATTCCCAAGAGCAGGGCCCAGAGTGGGGATACTTCAGATGTGGAGATGTGCATGACCAAGCCGTGGAGACATTCCTTAGTCCCTTTGACAAACATACTTAATGTTTGGGGACATTCTTGCTTGTGGCCCTTCCAATCCTCGCCTGTCAGACGACAAGGTAAACCATTTTCTTCCCATTGATGTTTCTGGTCTTCAGCCCCAGGAACCGGCGACTGTTTTTCTCTGGCTGCCCATACATCATGTCGACAAAGAATTCAGATTGGTCGGTGTTCCTAGATCGGGAGGTGAGAAAGTCAAACCCAGATCTTAGATTATCACACAGATAGGTTATTGCCTCTGCCTCATCTGACGGCTCCTCATACACAGGCTGCTTCATCTCATCATAGGCAGATAGAATCACCGCCTGGAACAAGTTGATGAAGATACAAATCATCACCAACATAAACGATGAGAGAAACAGGACCCCGAGAACCTTGTTGCTGGAAAATTCTGTGTTCTGAAAGGCTGACACGCAGTAGGAGAAGATGGTTTGGGTGGCGTGAATCATGCTGCTGTAATTCCATTCATGCTGGCCAAACACCAGGTACCCAAAAGCTACATACATGAAGGAATACATAGATACCACCAAGGCCATGTGGCAGATGCCAGGAAGGGCAGCCTGGATGGCCTTCTGAGCCAGGCGCACATCATAGAAGAATCTGGAATACCTGAGTGTCTTCAGTGTGGTCAGAAATAACAAGAAAGCCAAGGTTATCCTCATGAAGTGATCAACTTGAGAAATGGCATGGAAGGGGATGAAGGTTTCCGGGTCAGTCAGGTAAAGCTGGACCATGCTGGTGGCCAGGTGGTACTTCTGGAAGAACAGCACTATCAGCAGTGTAAACATGCACTTCAGAGACAAGTTGAGCAGGTTGTACACACTTCTCAAGTAGGAAGCTCTTTCTTGCATGATGATATAGCCCTCGTCTACAATATAGGCACAAAAGAAAATGAGAATGGCTACATAGAGGTAGGTTTCTGCCCAAGTTTCTCTGTTGAAATCAGCAAGTGAGAAGGAGTACACAGAGAGGCTGGAGTTGACAACCCCTAAGGGAGAGACTTCAAATACAACTGAAATGCTACACATCAGACTGGTGTCTGGATTCAGGGTGGTTAATTCTACGATCACAGCCCATGTCCTCTCATCAAGCCAATTCTTTCCCTCAAGTTCCTTGATCCTCAGTGTGGAATTAGAGATCTGCTGTTTTGGAAAGAAATAGAATGCATACCCTCCAGACCCATAGGTGTTTAGCACTCCATAGGAATGATACACCCATTTCTTCCTGGGAGGCTTATAAGTAAACCCATCGCTGGGTTTGTCTGTAGACCGCTTAGCAGCCTTACTCCAAACACTGGAATAGTTTTTTGTGTCTTCTGGGTCAATGCCATACTGTGGGTGACAATGGATTTCTCCTGCAATGCTTTTCTGCACAAACTTCTTGGCCAGCAGACATGTTTTGTTGCTAGGTTTGGCCCTCACTTGCCTCATGAGTGGAAGGCCAAGGATTTTGGATGAGCTGTCTGGAAGGAATGTTGGGTTCAGGTCATTGTGTAACAATGGCAGAAGCACACTGTTGAGCCACGTGTAGATATCTCCCAGCTTCATCACAGTGGCAAGATCCATGGAGAACTGATGTTGAATGAACTGGTTATAGTAGAAGCTATCATTATGGCGCAGTAAGACGATGAACAGTAGGAGAAGGGTCAGGAATATGAAGTGGGTCACAAGGTAGCTCAGGAACAAGAAGGACCTCCTCCTGATCCTCTTCTTCCTCCTGAGTATTTGGATTTTGTCCTTAGTGATGGGCTGGTATATGCCTGAGTCTCGGAGGTAGTCCAAGTCCCCATGGAGCTGCTGCATCTCCTCTAGCGACATCTTCGACTCCTGCAGCCTGATTTCTGTGTAATGGTACTTGCTGGACCATGA